AATATATATATATATAAGATATGCGCCATTCATTTTGTTATAATCTATTAACATGCACTTCCATGAACCACACTGTTATTATATACCCTAATGCAGACTTATGAGGTAAACTAGGACTTTTCATAAATTATTGCAGAAATCAACTTTCAAATACCAAATGGCACCTTGAACACAGCCAAGTCACAGGGAAAATCCATGGTTTATCACATCCTATTCCAATACTTTTTCCACTGAACATATGATGTAAGAAATCAAATCTTGATTTGCTTCTAAGAGCATAATCCATGAACTATATCCATGTGCCATAATAATTCAACTGGGAGATTATTTTTGAACTGGTTTATTGGCCCTATCTGGAAAATATGACACACCTGTTATAAAATATGATTATCTCAAAAACCTAAGAATTTTGGAACCAGATTTCTATAATAAATCAGTCTAAGTGAATTAGGATATCCATATACTTCCAAAAAGCACTTTAATCCCTATCAACAGTTTGTGAATAATGAAAGTAATTGATATTCATTTTTAGTTGACAAATCCAACACCAGTAACCTGTTAGTATACTTTAATCCACATTCCAACCACCTGTAAAAACTAACCAACAGATGCTTCCAATCTGGTAAAAAATACATAGGTCATTAACACTATTTTGATGAAACCAAATGTTCAATATATGAGTGATGTGATTAAGTCTCAGAGAAATATATAAACAATGTCCTTCTATAACCCTGTTAAGTCATAACAGAAGCCAAAGATAGCAAAACATGGTATCTTTTCCAAAAGTAAAAAAATACAAAATAAAAAACTATTTGCTGTTTCACTCTTCATTCTTATGTTTCAACGACTAACTGTCCTGAGCTTCACTACAAGCACACAAGCAGCACGGGGATGAGAAGCATACCTGCCCTATCTGCTGCAGCATCCTCAGTGTCAGCGAAAGGCCAACTACGTAAGCCACATTTGCTGACCTGAGCAAGTAGCCAAGTAGAGAGGGAAAGTGGCAGGCAAGGTGAAAGAACTGAGAGAGGTAACCTGGGAAAAACACATTTCTGAGAGAATTTAAAACATGGAAAGCTGAGCTGTATCTCAAAAACCTGGAAAAGAAAGAGGCAAGAAAGCCAAAGTGAGACACTTGACAGATACATAAACCATAACCAGAAACGACAACACAAGAAAATTGGAGGAAATGCTGATTATACACAGGAAAAGACTTAAGAAAAGCTTCCTATACTTCTTAAGATATTATAAACAACACTTTTCTGTGAAGGAAAATGGTATAATCAGTCTCAAGGAGATGAGTTTAAAATAAAGGACCACAGAAGTTAAGAGATATGGTAAAGACTAATCAAGGTAATATAAAAAAAGACCCAGCTCCAAGGTCTTTAATATAGGTGCCCAAGATACATTATTAATTCCTCTTCTTTTTCTGACTCTGGGTATTAGACCTAGAAACCCCAGAAACTGGAATACAAAAGTCCTGGAAACTGAAAGTAGTATCTACTGCAAGGATTTTAAAAAAAGAGCAACTAATATTAACCAAAAACACCCCAACATTACAGGATATCTGAGAAAAATGAAAGATTCTCATTAAATGATTAGATTCAGTTCCCTTATACTATATGGTTTGTCAAATGTTTACAAAAAAAGTTATCACTGTAAGTAGCTGGGCTGGAACATCCATGCTTGGAATAAAAAAAAAAAAAAAAAAAGCCCAAACTCCTAGTCCAAAGAGTTGCTGCAATAAAAAAAAAAAAAAAAGAACCCACTGTGTTCTTCAAAAAGTTGAATTCTTTGTCCTTCCCTGCCTAAATGAGATGTAAACCACTGATTAAAACCATCCAGCCAACAAAGCCTCTGTCTAGTCCTGCATGTTAAAGAGCGGATAGCCAATTGGATTTTCACCTTGGACTGAATAATATATAAGTAGCTACATTTAATTCTCAATCTTCAGAAGTTACAAAATGTATCAAAACCTTTGGGACCATGGAAGATGAACAAATGTTAACATTTCAACCCAATGCATCAGCTGCCAGGCTTTGAAGAAAAGACAACGGGCAGTGACAGGCTCACTCCAACAGTCCATCCTCTCATACAGATGCCTTCTCTTTCCTTCCCAGTGATCACTAGTATTAAACATCTATAGCATTAAATCCTGTTTGTCTAAAAGCAGCAGGGACTGGCCTTTTCCATTTCGATACTTAACTACCAGTAATGCCAAAAAGAACCCTTATGACCCTTCACAGAATTATTTCTAGGAAGTATTCCAAAAGCTGAACAAAAAAAATTGTCACAGCAATAACCTTTCTTGGTTGGTATTATAAAATGTTGCCAATGCTCTCTATCCTGCCTTCCCCATCTTTTCTGTTCACCCTAAAAATATCATCCACAGATCCATAAACCTGTATTTAAGCAGAGACAAAAGATGTTGTGATCATTTAACAGCTTCTGAGGCATGCGAGAGAGATACTGGACCAAGGAGTCAGCGTATCTTACCAAGAAATCAGTGGCATAAGAGGAATAGAAGACAAATATTTAGCAAATCTTTAATTTTCACCTTAATCTATTTAACTACTATTAGACTGAGCAAATACATCATTTTTTAACCTTGACTCTCAAGGCTAAAGTTAGATGACTTAAGAATTTTTTAAAGGTCCAATTATTTCATTTAGGGCTAGCGTTACAGCTAAATTAAAGACATGCTAACAAGTTTCCCTTTTGAGCCTCATTAATTAAGAAAGTAATCAGAGTAAAGAGGGGAAGAAAGAAAGAGTAGCTGGCTGGCAGCATTACTTAAATAGCTTCTAGGTACCACCATTTATACCTACTAGCAAAGCGAAGGGAAAACTAATCAATTCCAGATTAGGAAATCTGAAATTCTAAAGTGTTTTACATGTAAATACATATTTTAACTGCCACACAGCTCCTTGATTGCCTGAAGAGTGCACTAATCCTATTCAAAGAAAATTCTGATTTTCCATAATCAAAAGGTAAATTAAGATCTGCTTACTTCACAAGTTTTCCTGTGGTGAGACTGCTGAGAATTCTCCGTTTTCAAAGACCACAAAATTCCATTTTTAATATGAGCCAAGACAAACGCTGCACACTTGGTGTCCAGTAAAGATTTCTGATTTACTACGAATTCTGGAAATTTATTTTACAAAGGCCTTTTAGAAAGTATTGCTAAATTACAAATTTTTTAGAGAGTTTGTAATTTACAATTACCTCTTTCAAAAGAATGCAAATGAGTATTTTAAGGTTTCTGCCAATGTTCTTTGGCTGCTGTAGATATCAAATTTAATCAGGTATGTGAGGCATCCCTAGTATGACACCTACTGAATGGCAGGCCCTATAGGGAAGCCCAGTTCGTTCCTCCCTCCAGACTCACACATGCACTTATTCAGTATAATTTCTTTCACCACACCTCTCTCCGTCCTCAGTAAGCCCAGGGACATGGAAGTATAAAGCTATAAGGAAAAAGGTTTTCGATCTTCAAAATTAAAAGCCAATGACTGCTTTAAATTCCTTGTGCTACAGACTTAAAACGTTAAGTTTTACATAACACTTAAAAACAAACAATATGTATGGATACCAGTCTTTAAATATAAAGGGCAGGTCCATGACACTGGATTAAATAAAATCAATTTTCAGATTAGAGTACAATCTAATTTTTAAAATCATACCATACAAGCTAAAGTTATCACAAAACAATTTGGAAAATGACGTCTTTGCTCTTAACAAAAAGATCGTATAATAAACTCAATTTTCTTTCAAGCCAACTTTCAGGACAGTGTAAATGTGACATTTCTGTACCATGCGACTCACAAAGACTGTAATGATAAAGGGTCACAAAATGCAAACCTCTCATTAGAGGAAGGTGCAATTTTTTTCAAACTTAAGCAATTTTCATACCAAATTATTCCCTCAAAATATCCTTCTTTACAAAAACTCTAATCCCCAATGGAATATTGTTTTTAAAAATTAAAGAATCAGACTATATAATCTGCATTTTTAAGTTGCTCACTTGATATACTGTCTAACAAATTTCACTTTTTATACATTTTATTTCATTACTTACCATTATTAATGGAAATTTTTTTTTAAGTATAGGATGTTTAAAATAGTGTTAAAAAAGTTTTGGTCTATAAAAGGCACAAAGTTTAAATTCCAATTATAAGGTAATAACAAAAGCATTAAACTTACCTTTTTGTTGGCAGCAAAATGTATTCTCAAGTTTACAAAGCAAGTCCGTATTTTCATACTGATTTTCATTTACTTTGATCCAGAAACAGTTTTCAGTCATTTCATGAGGTCGGATCTGCAATCAGAGAGAAGACTGGCTCATAAGCAGCTGGGTGTGTCACCTGTCCCGGCCCAATCACTGTGCACAGACCCGGCGTCCCATAGCTGCCAACAGATGTTTATGAAGTAATCTCTGTAGATTTTTCCTCAAAGTCTGTTCAATGAAACACAAATTCTGAGGAATGTTAAGATCTTAAGTGGAAATGTTTCCATGATCATGCAGCTGGCAATCTGAAGTTGAATGATAAAGTTTATTTATTCTCAATTTTACTTCTCAGAGTGACTATTGACACTCATCTTCACTCTGCCTCTGGAATGCCAGGACACATTACACAGTATATTCCCTGCTTATGTGCCTATGAACCCATCTGTCTACAGGAGCAGAATTCATGTGACTTGGGTAGGTTCAGCTTCTGACAACTACTACTATGTTACCCAATAGCTACCAGCAGACAACAGTTCCGAAAAACCCTAACATTTTTGTACTTTTCAAAAACACTTCAAAAATATAAGATTCCATTCCAATAATGATGAATTATCAATTTAATTACAAAGCAAATCCCACTACAAGATCACCAAATTTATAAGACAGAATGTTTTAGCCAACTACAAAGGGTTTTATAGCAACACTTCCCTTTTTAGAAAAAATTCATTCTCATTTTAAGATTTGCATTGGAAATTATAATAACAGGCAACAAAAATTAAATTTTCCCCTATTTATGTGTTTTACCTTTAACCAATTCAATCTTCTCATGCTGATTTCAGGTTTAAATTCTTTCTTTGGCTTCAAACCAAATGGCAAGGTGGGTGGAGGAGGAGAGTTTCTTCCACCAAGAAAGCTCAAGGGAGGTGGTGGAGGCACTGGGCCACCACACATCATGGGCATTCCTGGGACTGGAGGAGGTGGAGGAGGGGGAGGAGGAGGTGGTACCCCAACACTGGAGAGCAGGGAAGGGGCACAAGGAAGTGCCAGCTGGCCAGCTTCTTCTTTTGACTGGAGCAAAGGAATTTTTGTATCACTTGGCAAGGCACCAAACTAAAGAAAAAATTAAGAAATATAACTAAGACCATTTTTATAGATGTAAAAGTACACTTTACAGAACAGTAAGATACTCTTTTAACCAAAAATAACTATCAGTAATTTCACATGATTTAACCAAAACACAAAATTGAAAGAAAAAAAAGTGCTTCTAATATAAGTAATCTGAGTCTTTGTTCTCAAATAAATGTGACTGTCAGATATAAGTCACTATTTCATGTAGTTCAGGCTATGTAGGGGGACATGCTCAGGAGAGAAATGGGGATATAGATCTAGAGGAAAAGCAGCTGTCTGGGAGAAAATTAAAATAATGGAAAGCAAAAAAAAATTCACCAAGGGTTTACAGAGAATATGCTGCAGGAGATAGTATCTGTGCACAAAAATCTATAGAACACTTGGACACGGAAGTGATTAGTAAGAAAGTAAGATCCAGGGGAATGAAAAGATTTAAATGGCATTTCTATGATATGTCATGCCTTTTCTCAAATCTCCTTGATGGTATAATGCATTTGGAAAAAAAAAATCTAACTTTTAAATTTATTTATTTCTGTTATTTTATTATTTTATTCATTAATTTATTGGAACTTTCTAAAATCAGTGCATATTTGAAATGCATGATTACATCCCTCATGGGGAGTTGGTACATGTACATGAGGCATTTTAGTTTTCTCCTCCTCGCCTCTACTTCTGCTTCACTCCATGTCTTTGTCCTCATCCCTTTCGCAAAAGATCTATTTCTCTACTATCTATTATCCAGCTTTTATTTTGCTTTTTATTGAGATTTTGAGTTTCTAGTACAAGAGAAACCATTTGATATTTCAACTTGTATTTCTGTTTTCTTTCATGTAACACTGTAGTCTCAAGGTGCATCCAAGCCAGCTGTAATGGTACACACCTGTAATCATAGCACCTCTGACACTAAGGTAGGAGGATGACCTCAAGTTCAAGGCCAGAATGCTCTACATAATGAGCTTAAAGCCTCCATGAACTACATAGCAAGAGCTGTCTCAAAAAAAAGTACACCCATTTTCATACAAATGACTGGCAGAGTACTACTTTATGGTGTATAAATACATTTTCTTTATCCATATATCTATTGACAGACATGTTGATTACTTCCAAGAAAAAAAGTCTTTGTTAAGGTCTTTAGAGTTTGTCATGGTCTGTTCCCTATAAACTACTCTTTCAATTAATTTTGTCCTAATTCCATGTGTTGCAATTCCAGTGTGCTGACCTCACACTGATATCAGAGACCACACACCTGGTGTTCCCTTTGCCTCAAACATTCCCTTCACCTGGCCATCTTGCTAGTCTTTCTGGGCTGCATCCCTTCTGTTATGGTGTTTAGCTGTTCCCCAAAAGCCACATGTAGTCATAGCGTAACTTCTAGGGTTTGAAACTGATTCTTGATCCCGTGCTGGGATTATGGGTGTGAGTGCCCTGGGGCAAATATTCTGCATTACAATGTAAAGAGAGGGAGAGGCTAACCAACTGCCTGAACTGCTGCCACTCCCTTTGCCACAGCCATGAATGGCTGTTCTCTGCCTTGGAGCCAGCTGAGTATGGACAAAAACATCCACTACCTGTGAGCTAAATAAACTTTTCCTTCCTTCATTTTGGGTGTCAGTTATCTGTCCCCACAATGCGAGAAGAGTAACCGCGATACCTTCCATACCAGTTTGATCTGCCTGTACATTTTACACCCAGAGCACCCTAAACTTTTCATTATCTCTTCTCAATAATATTAAACCATTTCCCAAGGACTCATTAACAATTACCACTTCAATACACTGTCAGCTTGATGAGGGAAGTGAATATGCTGGGGTTGGGGTATTCACTACTTTTTCCCAGCACCTAAGGCAGTTATGGCAGATAACAGCCACTGAAAAACTGTTTTAGATAAATAAAAGAAAAAAGCAAGCACAGAGTCTAAGCCACAACAGAACAGGCTGTCCCACTTCTTCAGAGGACTCTTTCACAAAGGCAAATGCCTCTGAGAAGCAAAGTAAAATGAAGAGTCGAAAAGAACAAGTTGTACTCGCTGATCACCTTTGTCCTTCTACCTCCATAGTATGTTAAGAATTTAGTTGATGAATTCGGATCTTGCAGAAAACTTTCTACGTTAACAACTTCTTGAAATCATGAACTTCAATTTTAAGTGATATAAATACACACACACACATACACACACACGTGAGAACTATTCAGCAAATGGAAAACATTTTACAAAAGGTTTATAACATAATTATAAAAACTAGATTGCCATATGTAATCATATGAAGTCTAAAATCAAGGACATGCTATCAGCACAAAGAAAAACATTTATGAAAGAAATGGAGACTGGGCACCGAAAGGTGTGCCTTATTAAAAACATTAAATGTAAAAAAGGAACATGCTCAGTGTTACCTAGGATTGCTGAGATCAACAGTGGGACTGCCCTCTGAATGTCAAAGATTTACATAACCTGTACTCACACTTGTGTACATTTTGTAGTTAACAAGTACTATCTTAAAAATATGGCAGAAATTTTGATCCAGAGTCATCATTTGATAACGTATGAATAATCTGAATATGTTTCAAGAGCAGGTACACTGTACATTGTAACTATCTTGCTCATAAGTGACTAAAGGAAAGAAATCACAGACAGCAGAACATATTTTATTCATCATCTTCTACTAAACTAGCTTTGATTAAAGAGTGTAAGATAAATGTAGGCATTTCATAAAATACAAAGAAAAATCTAAAGGAACACTTTGCCAATAATTCTTCAAAGCTGGATATGATGACCAATACTAAATTTCTAATTTCTGTTTTTTCTCTGTTAGTCATAATCACAAGTCCTTATTATGCCCAATTTTAAAAACTTTTAAGAGTTCTTAATTTCAGTTTTCATACATAAATTTATTCCCATTTTATATAAAAACACTGGGGCAATAACTTATCCAAAGATGATGACTATATGCTTTATAATCTAGATTTCTCTAGAGTAGATAAGCAGGTAATCCTTCTAAAAGAGAAATGACTTCTTATATTTATATTAACCCAGGCAGGAAAACAGTTGTCAAAAACATTTTATCTGCAGTGACTAAGAAACACAGAACAATATCAAATGTTTCTCTGAATATGAAAGATAAGGATCCACATAGGAAAGGTGAAAAAAATATCACCATAAAACCTGGGACTTTCTTCTCACAGCCACTAAAGAGATGTTTTTCTTGTAGATTTTAATTTTGTAATTAAATTCAACACTAAGACACAGCTATCAAAGTATCTTTCAAATCACTTTTATAATAAAACTAACCATAAAAGAAAACAAAATTGCCAATAATACAGGAAACAGTATACCTGAGACTACTTCATTGTAACCACAAATTAGGTGGAAGAGAAAACTATCGCAAAGCCATACCTATTGCTTGCTGCATATAACTCTACATGAAGAAATTTAGCAATGAATCCTACCTCCTTACTTTCGCTCCCATAAAAATGCAGATGATGTATTTCTAGCTATCTAATATATGTGGCGGGTGGATGTGAGCTATCTGCTTCATAATCCAGATTTGCTCTCTTTTTTGTCATGTTTTAAATCTGTTTACTTTTGGAAATTGAAAAATTATCAGAAAATGTTCTCATTCAGTTAGAGGTTATCTTTCACTGCAAGGTAACCACAGGCTGAAGGTTTTGAAAAATAAATAGCTGGAGCAATAATTTCCTGTACTAGGATAAAGATCAGTGATGAATGACAAATCTAAGAGTAAAAGACTTTCTTAACCTTTATGCTTAATTACTTTGGAACATGAGACATCAGAAACACAACCCAAATGAAAAAGAAAGAGGATAAAATGTAAAGCTTATATATTCCTAAACTTGTAAGTAGGAAAAGAAGTGACAAAGTAATTTTTAAAAACATAAATATACCACAGTAAAAACACATACAAATAACACTAAGAAATGATACAAGGCAGATTAAAGTTTAAACATGTTGATGCTATGAAGATCTAATATGACTTTACTTCCCTGTTGTGGTTTCAATACCAAATTACCCCAACTGTTAATTTTACCTGAGCTTTAAAAGCTTGCAACTCTGCTTGAAGCTCACTAATCTTTGCTTCCTTTTTCTGCAATTGAGCCTGAGTTTCTTGGTGGTCAGTAAACTCTTTTTCAAACTGAAAAGGAAAAAGAAAAGAGAGGGAAAATGAATAGTACTATTCTTCATATAAAAATAACTCAATGATTTGCATATGGTATAGACACTTCTGAATTAACTCACAACAGACACAGTAGGTTTCTGATAAGTGATATATAGCCTTTGTATAGGTCTCTCCAGGTTCCACCAAAACCATTCCCTCCTAAGGAAACAGGAAAGGCCTGATACAGAGGCTGTGACTGCCTTCCACAGAGCAAACTGGCCCATAGCTATCTACAACCTTAAGATTTTACTTAAAAGTCTCCCTTAAAAGTCCTTAAAAGTCCCATGCAATTCTGTGTAAAACAATACAAAGCAGACTATTCTATTGAGTTCCTTGCCACCTACCCTGAAAGCTTCACAGCTGAAATATATCTGAAGTTTATCAAAATGATTAACAACTTTAACTTTATAAATGCATCAAATACGGATTTTTTTTCTTATCATAACATATCTACTACCCTTGAGAGATTAATGGTAAAATCATTGTTTATAATCATTAGTACAAAACTTTCTGGGAGAAAGATAAACAACAAAATTAGTGAATCCAGTGAGTTTTCTAATTTATTTAGCTTCTCATCGCAAGTCCTCATCTAACATTTAAATCATTCCTCGATGCCACCATAAGAACTGAAAACCTCTCCTAGGAGAATTGAATTTAAGGAGGGGTATTATCTCATAATTCAGAATAACTATTCAGCTTTTTTTTTAAAGAAAAGAATCAAATCATTATTAAAAAAAATGTAACACTTCAAAACCATACCCTTCTAGACATTACACTCAAAACTTAACTAGAAAAACAACAATATAGAACTAAATAGTTCACTAGGTGCTTTTATTCTTATTTAGTTTAAAAAGGGAACTCATATTACTTTTAACAGAGACAGTTACTACTCTACATCTATAAATTCCATGGATATCTCATAGCTTCATATTGAGTGGTCTCTCCATAGGTGTGCTATTCAATACCATAACCACTGGACACAAGTAGTCATTTAAGTATAAATTTAAATGAACACAAAGTAAACAAAGTTAAAAATTAAAGTACTCAATCATGCTGGTAATTGTAAAGGACACAAGAGACACAAATGCTTCAGGTGGCTACCGCAAAGAACAACAGACTGTGAGACATTTGCATTTTCCCTAGCAAACAGGCCCACTTATAAATGTGGCTCCATGTTCAGACTCTCCTTCTCCACATCCCCAGACAACACAGCATTCTGGTTTTCACGCTACTGGCTGACTGCTCCTGTTAATTTTTTTTATTCTGGAGGTCATACTCCTTAAAATCCACCCCTTTAATATTGGCATGTTACAGGACTATTTCCTCGCCCTTTTGTTTGTCTTACTCTACACTGCTCACAAGATCAGATCTTCCTTTAATCACAATCATAGACTAGTAAATTCCAAATCCCTATCAGCAGCCAGGTATGGATATCTGGATCCACAAATCCAGATATCAATACAGAAATATATCTATATATCCATAAATATATCAATCCATAAATATATTTCCAATTTAGTAATTAAAACTTTTCAAGAAAAGGAAAAGGAATACTATCTTCATCTCTAGAAACCTTATTTTTAAATACTATTACTCTTTGTAAAAGACAGTTCAAATAATATGATTCCCTTACTCAACCTGTGGGGGCACCATTATAATCACTAAGACCTAAGAACCCACTGGAAGCTAGCCCAAACCTACACATTCCTTCATACAGTATGCAACAGCCCACCTTGGGTATGTCTCCACTCAGTGGTAGATAACGGACATAAGACAGCTGAAAAGAACACAGAACTTTAGGAAGTCCAATGCCTCATGGTGAAGTAAAAGCATGTGGTCTTTCTTAAATCCATGAAAACCGTTTTCCCTAAATCCATGAAAAGTATTGCAATAAAGTCTGAGACAGACTGAAAGCCTATAAATGACTGCTGCAGCAGCGAGGCTGACCATCAAGTATGAAAAAGCAGAGGAGCTCGTGAGAAGAGCAGCTAGCATTTCAAGCAGAGGAAACAGCACAGGCTAAGGTAACTGAGAAGCAATCACAGCAAAGGGGTCACAAAAGGAGGTATGAAAACAAACTGCAGCGATGAAACTAGAGATGAACACAGGGATGAAACTGTTAGAAAATTTGCAATAAACCAGTTATTCATTTTCCTAAAGATCATAGAGAGTTATGAGAGTTTGTATTCTAAGAAGTAATGTGATCAAATTTGCACTTTGAAAAAAGCCATCCAGCAGCAGTATAGGAGATAAACTGAAAGACAAACACTAAAAGCATGGAAATTAGCTGAGAGGAGACTACAGTTAGTCAAGCAAGAACTGACTGTTTGCCTGAACCAAAGTGGAAGACAGAGAAAGAAACAAAGAAAATGAGACCAGACACTCCAAAGAAGTTTGTATCTGACTTAAAAAAGGAATAAGTGAGGAGAGTGTACCTAAGATGACTAGGTGACTTTTTCATGCTGGATACAAAGTATTCTAGTATGAGGTTAAAAGGGAGGGTGTAAAATGCAAGAAAGAAAGGCACTTTTAGGGAGAAGACAGATGACTTTATAGATACTGTGTTAGCTTTGCATCTCTGTAACAGAACAGCTGGCACAGGCTACTCATAAAGAAGAAATTTATTTACCCCATAGTTTGGAGGTAAAAAAGGCAAATGGTGTGGCCTAGGCTCTGTGGCAGAGTTGCCCCTTGGCTACCCCACTCATGGTACAGACTGCAGTAGCAGCACTGTGTGCAGAAACCAGCACTGAGCACTGTGAACCAGGAGCAGGGAGCAGGGAGGTGCCAAGCTCACCCCACCCTTTGGCGCCAGCCCTTTCCTTCTGCAAAGGCAGCATGGAGAATATTTTGCCATCTTGGCCCCTCAACTCCAAGCACTTCCCAACAGCTCTACTTTGGGGACACAGCTTGTGCACACAGTGCGCCACAAAGGCACACTAAGCCACATCTGAACCACGACACATATGTTAAGCTTAATATCTACCAGAAATTCAATATGAATTTGCATTCAACGCTTCCACAGAAATCTCAACATTTTACCTCAGACTACTAGACATCACATCTTTGGCCAAATACCCTCTGGCTTCCCTGACTAGATAAGAAATCCTGCCTCTAGGCTAATGCACCACATAGGGTTCTTCCACCACTGCAATTATCATGCTGTAATATGAAAATATTAAAATGTATCACAGGCCCCAGTAACAATCCTCAATCTGAAAGCTCATAAGTGAGACCTTTCCTATTTTACTCATCATCATTCTAGGGCCTTACATTTATAATTAATGTTTTTTTTGTTTGTTTGTTTGTTTGTTTTTTGGTTCCTCGAATGCCTTCAGGGCACTTTTGGCCAGCGGGAGAGTTGTGAGGTTCGAACTCCAGCAACCTGAGGCTGACAGCTTTGTGGAAGCAGCCACTTAAAGGACTGAGCTAGGGCCAGGCCCCCTACATTTATAATTAAACTCAGTAAATAATTGTTGAATGAAATGATGAACCAACTCTTGTCAACTTGTCCTTTATATTTCAGATGTCTATGTCAATATTATATATAAAATTTTGCCACTCTCCCTGCATCAAAAACCTTTGAGATCATTTTCCTTTTTCATAACTAAGCCAAAGTTCATGGCTCTACTGCAAGGAAAATGAATTAATTTCTCTTTATGAGAATAAGAATGAAGAAGCCATTTGACAATATTAATGTGCACTAAGCTGTACCTAGACTAAAATTTAGAAAGAAAAAGCATTATTTAGGTGACCAGAAAAAAAGACTAACAAAACAACTAATTATAATTAGCATGTCCCATAAAAACTTAATAAATCAAATTGGACAAACTAAAAGCATCTGTACTTATCAAAGAGGCAAATTTGTACAATGATGCCTACAAAACCAACAGATAAAATATAAATTTTGCTTTAGCATTTTCATGATATCTATAGGAAAATAACTATAGCCTTGGGGATAAAATAAGTCTCCATTAAAAGCATACCTTATAAAAACTAATAGGATAGCCTGCTTCTCTAAAAAGAACTGCTACAGTGATATTACACTTACAAAATAACACACAAAAATGTCAAGAAACACAGTTAAGGTTGAGGTTATGCTTAATTTCATTCCCTAGGGTAAATGTATTAGTGTTGCTGTATAAGAAGGCTGATAATTCAATATCCTCTATATACTTTCTGACATTTTTGTTTTTCATTTTTCAAATTTATGTATCAAAATAAAGAATGTGTCTAGCAACTACGATAGCTTCCTGCCTAAAACCAAGTATTTACATGTGTCCTTATAAAGCTATCAGAGCAAAGTTTTGCTGATATATACAAAATGGGATGGCAATAGAAATCTTTTATGGAGCAGGCAATATTATCTAAGTATACCTAACACATATAATTTCTGAGTTTAAAAAAAAAAAAAAAGACAACCAACCTTGAACAAGGTCCTACTTTTATTGCATTTGAAGCTTACAATTTAGAAAACATGTAGTGGAAAAGTCATATTTAACACCATTCATAGACACCGACTATCTAAAAATAACAATAACAAATTTATACTATTTGAGACGTATCCAAATTTAGTACTTGAAGGTTTACTACTACTTTTCCAAGAAAACTTAAGAGTGCTTATTGAGCTTAGAATACAAAGTTGGCTGGGGAAAAGGTCACTCTACAACATGAACATCTACCAACTCGAGCACTTTTCACAGTTTAAACAACTTATTAATTTGTTTCCCCTATTGAACATTTCTGTGTAACAAAAATAGCATATTCATAGTTGTTGCTCTTTCCTCACATGGTAGACATACCTGTAATCCCAACACTCAGGAGGCTGAGGCAAGAGGATTGCTATGAGTTCCAGGGCAGACTGGGCTACAAAGTGAGTTCAAGGCTACCTTGAACTGCATAGTGAACCCTGTCTCAGAAAGAGAAAGAAAGAAAGACAGACAGACAGACAGACAGAGAGAGAGAGAGAGAGAGAGAGAGAGAGAGAGAGAGAGAGAGAGAGACAGAAAGACAGATACCTGAGGTGTTATAAACTTACTAGGTGTTTGGTCAAGTTAGAACTTCAGAACATCCCAGAAAGAAATGTAAATGCTTTCCCTAAATTAGTCCTAACTTAGGAAAAGGTATCTTTCATCTGCAAGTTATGTTAAACGTTAAAAGTTTATAGAAAAAAAAAAGAGGGGGTGGGAAACTACCCGCTCGGCAACCCCCCCACCCCCCCGGTCCCTCTCTCAGGACAGGAGCTTTCTTTCTTTCTCTCAATAAATATATTCTGCTCATAAAAAAAAAAAAAAAGTTTATAGAAAAGGATAATTCCTTCAAGATCCATTTAGGAACTACAACATAAAAATTGTACAGTCCTCAGAATAGCACCTAACAGGCAGTAAAGTATACTTTTTGAGTACTCATTCTGGGTTGGTTGTGGTGGTCATTATCATTCCACCAATAATGAAAAACCACACTTAGTAGAATGACTATGGAGATGAAAATACCACCAAGAAAAATATCTTATAGGCATGCTAGACTAGAGAGCAAAGGTCAAAACATTACAAAGGAGGAAATGGTTGGATAGTCAGAAATATTACTAGGTTGAAACAAAGAAGCTGAAAATATGTGGTATTCTGACCTATGAAGGCAACCTTCATGTTTTTGATATGAAATAATGCAGTAATTTAATGAAAATAAAAAGCAAATTAATCTTTCTAAAAATTTTACATACAATTCAACCTTACTATTGTAAACTATGGCTTCTTCAGAATTATTCCAATCTTAAAATTTTGAATTTATACATTTTTATTCAATTAATCATTCACACATTGAAAAATAATGCTTTTTATTTCTTACACAGAACCAGGAATTGTTCCTATTGCATAAATAATAAAACAAACAAAAATCTACTGAAGTTTACTCTAAAGGGAAAATAGCTAATATATTCATATATAGAGAATATGTATATAAATACATAAATTATGTAGCATACTAGATGACAATAAATATTAAAAAAGAACACAAAAGGTAAAGGTAAGGGGGAGAAATTAGGATTGAAATGACACAATGGTATACAAGTCCCCTTGGAAAAGGGCATTTGTGCACAAAAAACTAAAGTAGACAACAAGGTAGATGGTACAACTAGCAGTCTGAGCCCCAGTCATGCTGTGGTATTTTGCACATAGTCTTGCTAATGTACTCAAAGTTACTTACTTTCTTGTGAAGTTCTGATGCTTTTTCTTCAGACTCTTCTAGTTTTGCTTGATCTATACAAACGTCAAAAGTTGCAATGACAAGAAATTTAATTCATTATGACTTTAGGTTTATAAAGAAAAACATTATACAAAAGAATCAGAAATACTGTCACTGTTAAACAAAAGAGACAAACTGTTATAATATTGGAATAAAGAAGTTTTTTTAAAGCACAGTACTGGGGGCTTGCGGGTTACCTCTGTTGTTTAAGCACCTGCTAGGGCAAGCCCAGTCAGGCGCAGGGGACCATCGTTCAAGCCCCAGCTCCCTATGCCTTATCAGACCCACCCTTAAGACAGCCTAAGCCAGCCAAAAAAATAAAATAAAAAATAAAAAATAATCCTTTTCAATTTAAATAAATAAATGAAGCACAGAAAGGAAAGAAGGAAGGAAAGACAGACAGACAGATTGAATCAATCGCAACTTTAAACTTTTATCAGGCAAGAGGCAAATTCAATTATAACAGTACTTCAATGGTTTCTATTATAGTTCCATAAATATTCTCAAGGAAGAATAGACAATGATAGTTAAAACAAAGCCATGCTAAAAAACATAACATTAGGAGAAAAGAAAGTAGTAACTGCTAAAATGTTTAACGTTCTTTAATAATATAAACATACAATTTTAATGTATTTGGTACAGGGTCTGCAGGGTCTACAGGGTCTCACTACGTAGATCAGAATCATGTGATTCTCCTGTTTGCAGCCTTGCAAGGACTAGGATTACATGCATGTACTACCACACCCAGTCTCAATCACTCTCTCAGTGCACCCCTGGGGTGGGGCCAGCACAGCATGCTGGGAGTGGAAGGCCAGTGGCTTTGCTCTGCCTAAGCAGGGGCTTTAGTCTGCTGAGCTATCTGGCCAGCCCAGAACACACAAATTTTAAATACAAAATTTTAGCAATGATAAAATGATCCATAATGCCAAGTACAAGAGTTGATGCACAGAAATAAACTTACCTAGATACTAAGAGGAATGTTGCTTAAGAAGAACTAGGCAATACATACCAAAAATTTAAACATATATATTCCTTCCCCCAATTCTTTTAGCACTTTGCCTTTGGGCAAGAATACTCATTAAAATATTGTTTATTTTAGCAAAAAAACAAAAAAAAGTATAACATTGGGAATAACCTAAAAGTTCATCAATAATGAATTAAATAAGTTATGATATATATCCACATGGTAGAATGCTATGTTGGAGTAGTGACTCATTAACTATGATATATGGTATCCTGGTACACTTTTTAATGACACTGATACATGAACATGGTAATTACAGAAGCACTTACAAAGATTAGTCAACAAATCAGGACATCCAAATACCTGTCCCACTAAATGTATCCTCTTATACATTCTCTTTCTATATTAAATTATATTTCTGCATAGTTTAATTGGAATATGAGCATATTATTATTTCTAGATTTATTTAAAACATGTAACTTCTTATTATAAAAGATGAAGAAATTGTTCTCTGTGCAAACCAAATTTTTCTTCTTAAGATTTACTTAGTAAATTTGTCTGGCTCCATATAACTAAATATTTAGCCCTCTGACTCCTATTATATAGACAGCATCTCCTGTGTTTTCCAATACCTTTCTCATCTCCTGCACATCTTCATCTTTTCTTTATTCATACAGATATATTTTCTCCTGTATTTAAGTCTACATATTTATTCTGAGCTTTTAAAATTAATAAGTGCATAAAATTTATTGTAGCTATGTAAACACGTTTCACTTACATAGCCAAGCAGCATTCAAAGGCTATATTTTGTTCACAAAGTTCAGTGAAAAAGCACCATAGCTACTACATATACACACACAAAACAAATTCTTAATGCCCAAGTAAAATTTTTCAAGCACTATTCAAAATCATGTCACATTTTAATTTGCCACATAAAGAATGTTTTTTCTTAATGTATGTGTTCCCTTCCTTAGATTTTTCAAAATGTTTTTACATATAAACAAACATCTTCGTTATCACTGTGACTAATATTATCCAGTTTTTTATTGCTTCTAGTCACTTCACTGTTCTTCCTCGGCTTACAAGAAAATACGTGCCTGAACAGACATAGTTGAAAGGGGGGAATGTATTTCAATAGACTTTTCAGAGTATTGTGGAATTGCTTCTTTGATGTTATACTAAATTTGACAAATAAAACTTTTTAAATAGTTACATGGAGGTAATAAAATGACAACCTTGTTGCTTTAGGTTCACTGGTGATCGTTACACTTTTGTCTTTTGCCTAAGCTGAATTTGCTTCACCAAGCATTGGTCATCTGAAACTCTGTGCTGATTCCTGCTCCTCAGCAGGTCTTTTTTTTTTTTTTTTTTTTTAATGGATTTAATACAGGTTCTACAGGGTTTCACAACACAGATCAGACTCATAGTGATCCTCCTGTTTTCAGCCTCCCAACTGCTGGGATTACAGGCTCTCGCCACCAGGCCCAGTCTCAATCGCTCTCTCAGCACACCCCCCAGGGATGGGGCCGGCACAGAACACTGTGATTTGAATCCGGGTCCTGCACCTGCCTAAACTGACACTTTAACCCCTGAGCTATCTGGCCAGCCTTCTGCAGGTACCTCTTTAAACAATACCCAAATAATCATAGCATTGTCACTTGGTTTTTTAGTACTGATAAGCTAGTATAGTATATAAAAGTTTTCTAAATTCAAATTTTCATTTAAATCTCAAATTTTCTTATTGGTAACATTCATGAGTCATTTTCTTTGAAATGTAGGCATAATTCACTTCATTTTTTTATCTTTTTTTTTTTTTTTAATGTATTTATTACATGGTCTACAAGGTCTCACTGCACAGACTGGCTTCATAGTGATTCTGTTTTCAGCCTCCCAAGCACTGGGATTACAGGTGCACGCTACCACACCCAGTCTCAGTCACTGGCCATTCTTTTCATTTTTTAAAGTGTGTTTAAAATACTCACACTAAAGTGGACAGTTTGTATAACAATCTTTGAAGGTAAGAAAGAAAGGGGAGCAATTCTGCTAATACCTAAATTACAGAACTTCTTAAAATTATACTTCAATATGAAGAAATCTTTATATGTATATCCATTTGTTAACATTGTATGTTAAAAAACATAGTATGTTAAAAAAATATATACTCAAGAGTCAATATGTAATAAAATTATTCTTAATAGTGCAAGGAAATTTTTAGGTAAGAATTAACAGATGTTCTGTTTGCTTATTTTGGAGTTTCTTTTTTCAGTATTGAGAATTAAACACTGAACCCAGGGCTATGAGGGAAACCCCATACCACTGAGCTATGTCACTGGTCCTTTTATTGTTTCCTTCCACTGAGTGTAAAGAACATGATGCCTACTATTACAGTTTAGTGCTATTACCTTGATTCATAAAAAGATATCAATAGTTACCCACCATTTTGTGCCACCAGTGCAAGACATTAACACAGGTAAAAAGGCATGTAATACCTTAGTATTAAATGAAAATAGCTTTGACTATTGGTATCCTCTGAGAGAGTTGTAAAGACCCTCAAAAAGTCCACACTTTGAGAATACCCTACAGCTAGCTCATGAAATAAGATATTTCTATTTAAATAACACAAAATACTCACCGACAATTTGGCTTAAATCTAAATTTAGTCTTTTTCGATATGTAAAGTCGGGATCCATTCCATCTCTATGCAGCACAATCTGGGATACACACTCGTCAATTAATTTGAAGTACTGCTGTCTAAGATCAAAGAAAAGAGTAAGTATGTACTCAATTAATGAAATTGCATAGATGTAATTACAAAAATATAATTTGTGGTAAGCTTGATTTCAAGTTCCACAATTTACTATTTTATAGTTTTAACAAGTAACATAACACACTTAACATGGGAGAGTAAATAAAATTGTCTGAACTTTCCTTCTAATGATTTCAAACATATTTTTAACCTTTTAGGAAATAAATGTTTTCTTATAATTTGTCCATAGTAAAAATAAAATTAAGATACAGTGATAGGTACTTGTCAGAGCATTCCTCAGAAAATGTTGTCAACTTTCCATTGTACCACACTTACATAACTACCATTAATTAACGAAAACAAAAATATTTTCTAAAAAACTCTATGTAATATTCTTAAAATTAGTTTGTTTTCAGAATGCAAATAAATTAAAAAATAGTATTTCTTTAAAAAAAAGATTTATTTGGTATAATAATGTCAAAAAAATCAAAGTTTAACTGAAATCCTCAAATAATGTTCATGTTGTCACTGTAGCTAAATTCAGTCCAACTACATTTCTAATAACCTTAACCAAAGAATACTCTCTAAAGACTCACGACAACAAATGGGAAAGACACACACAAAAGATTTTGTAAACAAAATCAAAATAAAGTGATGGGAATTACTTTGAGAGTGTTTTCATTCGGAGGCTCTAGCAGGGAAGCCCTGCTAATCCTATACCTTAAGCGAGGAAAACGGCTTCCTCCGTCAGGCATGATCTTCCTCTCTGAGAGGGATGCACATAGAGCAGTGAGGGAGGAATGGGACACCTACCTAGCAGCCAGATCAGCTAAACCAACCCTGACAATCAATGTGGCGGCCGATGTCGCAGCCATGTCGTCCTCACAGCCAGTCTATAGGTATAATTTCAATGAGGCACAGTATTCTGCTCCCAATCACCAGGAGTTCCTTCTTCCCTCAGTGACTTTCATAATACACTTTCCCTCTCCCACCCCTCCCTGTCCCTCATGTAATGCCCCCTGGCCACTTGGGCTTTCCTTCCTTACTATCTTTCATCCCATTTATCTTACACCTAGAAAACCATGGAAGTGTGATCAAATACCAGCTATCCATGAGCAAAGACAATTAATGCTCAGTAATTTTCATAAAGTAGAAATATTAAGCAAATTGTTATGTACAAACGAAAACAAGCCTTTATCATCTATGCTTGCCTCAATTTTCTCAAATACATTAAATAATGTCATAAACTAATTTTTAACCATAATTTCCTTTAAGCTAAAGACATACACTTCACACATATATTTATCACATTTGGAAATTTAATAGATGAATCATAATCACATTCTAATGTTTAATTTTTTTAAATTTTAATGCAATCCATTTTGTCATTTTAAAATATCATGTTAGTAAAATCTTTCTGAATACCACAATGCCTAGTCATGAATTCCTTACTAGCAGAGCTAAAATTTTATGCCAAACTTCATTCAGCAGGCAAAAATAAAGATTAAAGTGCTTCTAGGTTCTACAAATGTATATCTACAACATAATCTCTAGGAGCAATCTTAGTGAGTTGGTTAATTTATCAGAGGACTACATGAATAACTTAATAAGGAATGAACATAAATTGCCATTATTTCAATGATAAAATAGCATTTTTGTTGGAGGATCATATTCACATTATTTGTGGTATTTTTAACAAGTATCAGATATATATCTTCCAAGTACATCAACTAGCATGGTATTTTAAACCTATACTTACTAAGTGATTAATTCTTTGGTATTAAACTGAATTTAATCTTCTCTTTCAATTACTTGTTGCATGTTCTTTTTTAAATCTCAGAAATAGGAGCTACATTCCTTGAGAAATAGGAATTACTTTTATGTACTTTCTCCAATGGAGTTACATTTTAGTAAAATTTCCTTCTATCCCAAGTGTGAGGAATTATACAAATCTAATGTTTAATATGACTTAATTTTTTTAAATGAGAAAATTTTTTGTTCTGCTATTTAATCTTAGAAAAAATAAAGTTATAACTATCCAAAGCAAGTCATTCAGAACATTATTAGAAAAAGTACATTCTAAGTTCCTTCAGTAGGAATGAAGATAAAACCAAAAGAACAACATCCCTAAAACTGTATGCCAATAAAATTTAAGGTATAATGCATATAAATAAAAAGCAAAGTAAAATATTTTAAAGACAAGTAGATGACAAAACTATGTATATGACTACAATGATGAAGCAATGTTAAACCCATAATCTCTTTTAAAGAATAACTAAATAATAAAATGGGGAAAACATATTTTCTTGGACTTGAATTCCTGTCTTCCATGAAAAATGATAGGATCGTCAGTGAGTGCCCTACAGCAGTTCACAATTTTGTCTGCTCTGAATACAGCCACATCATCAGTCCCTCTTAAAGTTCAGGCAAGGGGATCAGAAGTCATACAAGATGGGGCTTGTAGCTCTATCACATGCAAACTCTGAACACTAACAACTGCCTCAAATACATGGGAACTCAAATAGCATCAAATGACCAAAGCTTGATAACACAGTATGTACATATAGCAAAAATAGAAGAATTACTGTAGAGTGAACAGAAGTTTCAATTTTATTTTATTTATTTATTTATTTTTTATTTTTTTATTTTTTTGCAGTACCAGGGATTGAACTCAGGACCTTTTTAAGTAGAATAGAAATGAAGCATTACAATTAGGGCATGAGTAATTTAAAAATCTTATTTAATTAATATTTTGTGTTCAACATTTAAAAATTGATTAAATTTAAAAAAAAACAAAAACAAAAAATTGATTAAATATTTAAGTGTCCTCATTTTAAACTCACAGAAAACAGCAAATTAAGCCTCAAAACAATTTATTTAACTCACATTTTAAGACACTGATGAGATTTTTAGCTACAAGAGTAGTTTGGCCTGTGCACTGTACTCATTCTGAAGAATCCCAAGTGTCAACAATCTGTCTCCAGTTACAGGCCCATGAAGACACTTGCACTCCACCTGCTGGCTTCACCCAGAGAGCGCAGCCAAAGGAGGCTTTCCTAGCAAATCCTCCCACTTGCAATAAAGTTAAGGACAGACACATTACCCACAACTGAGAACAAAATTTCAACAGAATTCAATTTGTGCTGCCTCCAAAATGACAGTATAGTCAAAGATCTTAGTTTCTCTCAAAAAAATAAAAAGCTATCGACGTGCGTAAGAAGATAACATACAGAACTCTTCCTGAGCATACCCCACACGCCAGCACTCGGCTCAGAGTTTTCTTCATGCTACCACACTTAGTCTTCAGAGCAACACATCAGTGAGGTGCTCATATATGCACTTAAGTGTGTTATTGTGTAGCTGAAGTACAAAAAGGATAAACAAATTGTTAAGCTCAAATGGCTAGGAAAGATTTAAACTTAAAAAGCTGTGTTAATTTTCTAAATCATTATGAACATTAAATGTGCCTGAACTAGTAGGGTACATTCTAGCTACTTAAACAGTAATAAAATTTTTTTTTAAAAAAAGCTATAGGCTTCATGTAAGTTCTAAAAAGAAACAGCACCATTTTTACTGCCTAAGAAATAACCACAAAGTATGCATCATAAGACAAACTAGTAATCTGTTGCTAGTTTGTATTTTTATTCAGATAAAAAGTTGCAACCAAGAATCCACGCAAGTGTAGAAAGTACCAGCATTATTATTTTACAATCCTGTATCTACTAAATGTATCCTCGGAGGAAACTGTAACTCTGTAAATCAATATTATGATAGAAATAAAAATTATTTGCTTGTCCAAATAAAATAGCAGGTGAATTTCACAATTAATAGATATTTTATTAGTGAAAGAAAACACGATATAAATTCTTCTTACCTTATAAAATAATCATTCCGAATAAGTAAAAGATGCTGAAGAATAGAAATAAAATACCCTTCTGCTTTTGTTTCTTTAACTGTGTTCCACACCATATCATAAACATCAGATGCTTCAGTAAGTTAATTAAAGAACATACAGACTTCTTAATACTCCAACACAATTACAGCAAGATAGTACAACACAGAACCTACTCTGTAAGGCTATAAAAGCCTACTGTGTACCTTTATCCCATGGTAGGAAAAACTGGGAAATTACAACCTGATCTGACTCTTTCTGGCTTCTCCTTTATAATCAGCTTCAATTAACCTGCCTCATCAAAGTGAACATGCTGCCAGGCAGAGAGGGCAGGGGCCAGCTCATCATGGTGAACAACGGGATGAGTTCTAAGTGTGCTCTGCTTATGGAACTGCTCAGAGGATCATCTCACTTAGAAAAGTCCTCATGGAGAGAAGGGCCCTGGTGAAGAGTACAGACACCTGCAGGCTGACAGAATTCACACACAGCCTACAGAAAAACGAACACACGGCCAGGGTAAGGTCAGCCACTAGGCTAAGGCCACCAGATTCCTGATGCTGGAACTCAGGGGATAGCAGAGGCAGTGCCAAACAGAAAGAACTGGATGTATACATACAGAAGAAGCTGACAGAACAGTGGCCACTGGTTAATAGTAAAATCCATTTACATACATGAGACTTCAAGTAACCACACACTACTAAAATAATAACATTTTTCTGATATATAAAGACTTCACTTTATAGTCAGAAAAACTGACTAAATATTTACAGAGAGTGATTGACTGTTTTGAATTTAGCAGTAGTGTTTTGTATTTTTTGACTAGATCTAAAAGAAAAGGATATTCAAGTTCAGCTCTAATATCTTCAAGGCGATGGGAGAACTCAATCACGTCTTCTTCCTTATGCTCATCAAAGACTTTAAGTTGGATATCCAGGCTATCATTTTTAATACGCTTTAAATTCTGGAGATATTAAGAGAAATTATGATGAATGATTTTGTTTTGAATTATGCAAAAAAATGCATAAATATAAACAATAAACCAACCATTCAACATGATTTATAGCATTCAAACATTTAAAGTGTTAAATAACACCAAAATCTATATTTCAAAACTCGATTTTTATACTCAAGCCTTTTCCCACAGATACATTATTCCTGAGAGTAATTTATATAAATTTCCCCCACCAAGTACTCTTCTAATTTAAATATTAATAAGGAGACTGCAGGGCACTTACTGGCAATATCTCTTTCAATCCACAACGCATAAATTCATTTCTGATGTGAAGCCTGAAGTCCAAATCATCAGGAGATGTAACGAGGGCATTTATAAGCTGCATACAAGCTACCTACAAAAGATTACACAGTCAGACACAGACTTGCTTTCCAACATTAAAGAAAATGTCACAAATTGAAAAAAAAAAAAAAAGGGTTTTGTTCCAAGTATAATCAAATACCTTCTCTCGGAGGAGAGCCTATTAATATGATAACTTGTAAGTAAAATATTGTAGTCAATTAGGTATATAGAAGAAACACAGTTTTGGCGGAATTTTTTATTTCTCATTTATTTTTGTATTAATGAGATAAAGGGCAGATGGAGCAAGATTACCCAATGGTATCTTTCTACAAAGAAGTTCACTTAAAACCAAAAGTTTAAGGACCAGAAAGATAGTTCAGCAGACTAAGTGCCTGCTTAGGCAAGCGCAGGAGCCGGGGTTCAATCCCTGGTACCACATGTAGTGCTGGCCCCACACCCAGGTGCACTCAACCACAACCAAGTCTGGGTGTGGTAGTGCATGCCTGTAATCCCAGTGCTGGGAAGGCTGAAAACAGGAGGATCACTATGAATTCGAGCTGCGAAGTAAGACCCTGAACAAAAAAAAAAAAAAAAAAAAAGCTTAGGTCTTGCATTCTACACACATAGTACAAATCTAACATATTCTACCTAAAATTTTTTTTTAAATCTATTATTGGATAAATAACATCTAATATAGGATAATAAAATAATCTTCCATTGATCAAAGCAAGACTCCCAAACACCTCAAGGTAACAGGATATTGAATCTGTTAGAGTTATAATCAAAAACTATATATCATAATCAAAAACTATACAATGAACACACATCATTAAGTTGAGAAAACTTAATATACCAGACACAGTTTCTTACGCTTTGGCCAAAATTCAAAATTACTGCAGGAGCACTTGCAGGTTAGCTCAGTTGTTTAAGTGCCTGCTGGGGCAAACCCAGTCAGGCAAGAGTGCAGTTCAATCCCCAGTTCCTCATGCCTTACCGGACACGCCTATAAGGCAGCCTGAGCTGGCCAAAAAAATCCTTCTCAACTTAAAAAAAAAGTTATTATATGTTATTTTATTAACATAAAATGCATCACTGCACACCAAACAATATATAACAAATGAATTTTTTTAAAAAGGTGTTTTTCCATTCAGGTTTAGCATTCCAACTTTCAATTTTTCATTTATTTTGTTGAATTCTGTGGCTGAAATAACTTTCAACATCAAAAAACATACAGTAGAAGCAAGAGATTCTTCTATAAAAGCAAAAGTCTTTGCTGTTATTGATAATGCTGCTTTTGTATGTCTATATTCTACACAAAGTCTAGCAAGAACTGCTAGACTACTGATCAATATGTTTAACCTCATGCTGTTCCCTAAATTGTCTTTCTCCATCCCTTAAGGCAAGGTTTATATGAATTTAAAATGCTCTTTTTGGATTAAGACAACAACAGGGGTCTCAGTTCCTGCTGGCTGAAATATACAGTAATTGTTATATTCGATATCTAAGCCCTAAAACTTGAGCACCATGTCTCAACTGTCAAAACTTAAGATTGCTTAAAAGTAGGAGAGAGAAATTTGCCAGAAAACAGAGGAGAGAAAGAGAAATATAATTTTAAAACAAAGCAAAACCTTACATCTGTCTATCTTTCAATTACAAATTCACTCAGCTGTAACCAGTTGGTGTCAAAAGGCTGGGTGTAAAATATTTTCCTTCAACTCCCTCTCCAATCATTACTCAGCAACAACAAATATGCTTTTTAGCAATATCATATAATTTTAAAAGATCTTAGAGTGTGTGAATTCATATACATGCAGTGTGTTTTTATATTTCTCTACATTCAAAGAAAGGAATCAGTTATAGGTCAACCAGGTTCTAGAAAAATTAAAATTAGACAACTCAGAGAAAACACCTAGATTAAGCAACTTAGTGTAAGCCAGACATGGTGGTGTACACCTGGAATCCCAGCACTTGGGTGGCTGAGGCAGGAGGATCTCCCTGAGTTCAAGCCTAGCCTGGGTCACATGGCAAGACCCTCTCTCAAAACAACAAACAAAATTAATGTAAAATGTCACCTAACTAGAATGCAAATACTATAGACAATTATAGCATAAAAGTAAGAAAAAAGCAGAGAAGAAATAACCCAAGTCATTTCCAGGAAAAATCCAGAAAGGTAATTCTCCATAAAAGGAAAAGGAAAAAATTAAACCAAAATAATGAATTTTAAGTTAAATTTATAAAATCCTTTCCCAGTTCTACTGATAACTGGTCATTATCATGGTCCACAAACACTCTGATTCACTTATACCATGCCAGAATGTATTTGTGAATATGAATAAGATATACCAAAACATACTGGTTTCCCTTACAAATAAAAAGTCCTATAAGGAAGGTAAGAGTTCCTTCCAATAAACAGACCTGTGATATCACATATATTGAGATACACAGAACTGCAGCATTGCACAGTTCCATAGTGATGCAGCTTACTAGCAATAGAGGCCAACCCAGGATCCCTGGCAGATCAGCTAATTTTAGAGACACTAAAAAATGCCCAAATGAAGATAAACAGGTAAAATGATAAATACACATTATATAAGATTTGACTCACAATGGGAATCAGAAATACTAAATACGGACAAAGACTGCTGACTAAAAGCACTAAACGAAGGATTAACAGGAAGATACTTGATGAAGGAGCGGACAAAAATGTTTCAAGCAAAGGAACTAACATTGAAAGACAAGTCATTTCATATGATTAAAGTAATCTGAATTAATTGAATACAGCAGGTAAAAGAGTTAGGAGAGATCAGACCAGATAGGAGACAGACCAGATGAGGGAGAGCCTTGTGTACCAAACCACAAAACTGAGACTGAAATGGAAAGAGTGAAAATTTAAAAATTTTATTCAAAGGAAGGACAATACTAGCAGGTTCATGTTAAGAAGCTACTGCAAACACATACTAATAAAGATTTCTTTTAAAGGGGGGAGCTATAAATATGCTGAACCATGTGAGGAGGGCTTGGCTAACCTTTGAAATATAATGACAAAATGTAGACAAAGGGTTAGGGTAAAAGAGGTAACCAGAGGCCCCTTGTGTTTGTTACTCAACACTGGTGTTACAGTTTGTGTCTAGATGTTCCCCCAAAGCTTCAGGCAATTATGGGGCTGACCTAGACTTCATGATTCATTCATGATCCCATGCTGGGATTATGGGTGAACTGCTGTAGGGATTAAGGATGTGAGTGCTATACCCAGCCTGGGGAGAATAACCTGAAGGCAATATAAGAGAGATTGTCCCAGCAATAAGAGAAAAGTAGTCCAGACAACTCATAATGGTACTAATATCAAAAGATGCAAAAATATAAGAAAAACACAGGCTTGAGGGGAGAATGAGAAAAAAACTGCTTTCAAAATACTGAGGCTGAGACATTAATTATGAACCATTCATTTTTTCAAAATTGTTATTACCTACTTGGTGTCAACTGGGGGTTTTAATAAAAATTCAAGAAATTGGAAATGAGACTAAAACCTTCATAAAGAAACTGGAGGGGGTTCAATCCCCAGGCCAGCCTGCAGGCCCCGCCCCCAGGGCATGCTGAGACAGCAATTGAGACTGGGCATGGTGCACACACCTGTAATCCCAGCTCTTGGGAGGCTGTAAACAGGTGGATCACTGAGTCCTATCTAGTAGTGAGACCCTGAACACCCTGTAAACGCTTCCCTAAAAATATTTTTTAAAAAAGAAAAGAAACTGGAAATGAGAATAAAACCTTCATAAAGAAATTATTATACTCTTCTGGCTTTTGAAAACATAGAATATTCTGTTTATGAATTTGAATTATGTACAGAAATCATTCCAAAAACAAGAAAAACTACCTCCTTTTTACAGCAAATAAGAGAAAGCAAGGAATTCTGCTCTCCTTGGAGAATACTAAGTTAACTAAAGCTTTTATCTTTGTCAATCAGATTACAATTTACTCAGTTATTCAATTACACAAATCATTCTTTCCAGTTTATTTATTGGTACCTACTTCCAGATATTAATTACCCATAGGGCTAGAAATACAGCCATGTATTGAGATAGAAAAGACCACAGAGGGGAAAAGGCTGGAGAAGAAAGATACATACTATAGTTTGGAGATCTGAAGCAGGAAATACCTCTTGTGATCCAAACCAAACAAACAAAATTTAAGACAGAGAGCCTAGTCCAAATCAAGAGAATTCCAGTACAGTTGTATGTGAATATCAAGCTCTCTACTGGAATCACTTAGGGAAAAGTATCAAGAAAAGAAAACATGCATGGATTGTAGGGTTTCAACTGTAGGTTTTGGGCTGGGAAAATAGCTCAGTGGTTCAGTGCCTGCCTGACAAGCAAGAAGTCATGAGTTTGATTTCTGATACAAAAAAAAAAAAAAAAAAAAAAAGAATTTATGTATAATCAACTATAGGTTCAATTTATACATTTATTGGCAAAACAGAAGTAAAAAGCAATTAGTGCCTGTCTCAGTTACTCTTCTCTCAAATATCCAAATAAAGGAAAGAAAGGCTTATGTAGCTCACAATTAATGGAGGTTTCAGTCCATACTCGGATGCTCCAAGGCGGAGCAGCATGTGGCAGAGAGTAGCAGTTGGTGGCAGCAGCAAAGAGCAAGAGCAAATGGGAAAAGCAGTGGCAACAATGACTACAGAGAGTATTTCCCCTCCTTATCTGCCCCAGGCTGCGGTTAGCACTCACAGGGATAATCCCAGCACTACTAAAACCCATAATCTCAGCTTTAATCACGAATTAATCTCAAACTCTAGAAGTCTCCACCCCATGACTGCATGAGGCTTTGGGGGGACAACTAGACACAACAATGCCACAGACTAAAAGAAAATAATAATAATAGTAATAGTAATAATAATAATAATAATAATAATAATAATAATAATAATAAAGAGATTGTGGCCCCTAGAAGCATGAAGAAAAAAATCTCAATACAGAATGATCAACTGGGTCAAAAGCAGTCAAGTAAGTTAAAGACCCATCAGTTACCACTGCATTTGTCAAGGAC